TTTCTAACTTTATGTCTAGACTAGATTGGTTTTAGAGGTTGGTTGTTTGTCACGGACTAAACTAAAACTAAAGAAAGCAAATAAATCTATCCTAGAAAACAAGTAGAAAAATCGAATAGAAAGGAGATAAAGAAAGCAAAATATCGAACTAAAGCAATTGAAATGCAGATCTAAATAAGCAAGTAAAAATCGATTGGTTTGTAAACTATGACTAAAAACGCTGAGCTTTCGGGAACTCTACATGGATCATAATCGGTTTTGACACTAGGGTTAATAGATTGGGATTTACGGATATCGATATATAGGGTTCTAGAGCTAGAGTACGGCGGTATGACTACGTCACTGTCGTGATCATAACCAACTGTTTCTCGCAACCCTGACCAGTATGTTTCCACTCTGGACCTGGAAGGGAGAGAACGCAAGAGCTGCACAAGACTCGTCAAAACTCACGATCTCGCCGCAGGTAGGTTTCCACTCCTACGGAAAAATCGCCTATTTTATTCTAGGTGTGATACTTAATGAAAACTTTCACAACACTAACTATCTAGATCAGATACTTGGTGATCAATCAAGCATACATGCAATAAGAACGAGAATAAACAGAGAACAAAGTTAAAATCCCAGATCTATAAACTTAGATGTCTTAATCGATTATGAGAGCCTCTTTCGGGAACCCTAAGCCCAACTCGGGATCTACTCAGACATAGCTGAGGTCGACATCATCATTGGTTTTAATAAAAGTAATCAAAAACAGTAAAGAAAAGAGATGAAAGAAAGCTTCTCTATTGAAGAACTCGGACTTGAACAATCTTCTACAAAAATCGCATGAAAACGGCTAAAGAAAAAGGGTTTCTGTAAAGTATGAAGGTTGGTTGCTAAAAACGACCTAAATGACTAGTAATTATAGTCTTCAACACTTCATGGTCTCTAGGGTACCGGAATTGAGGCTAAGATGACTTTGGGATTCAGAAATGTGGGCTTTAATTCGGAGTTGGCCGGCCGCGATCGGGAATGACGTAACCGCGGGAAATAGGTGGCTGGCCGTGGTCGGGAGGCTTGTGACCGCAAGGAATGGGCTGTTGGCCGCAGTCGCGTGACTTGCTGGCCGTCTTCCAGTGGCTCCGGGGCTAATAGAATATCTTGAGATCCAACCGTTGGAATGTCTCCAAACCAAGTGCATTTGAAAGCTAGTTGATTCTTCTATATGTTGACCAATTTTGAGGGTGATCAGACGGTGAGAAGGTCTTCGTCTCTCTATGAGAGTTCTGACGGTCTGCATTTATCCAAAAGAGTTTTTTTGTTCCAATTTGTGCCTCTTTATCCCAAATTACCTGAAAAGTCTTTTAAAATCCGAAAACATAGAAATCCTTTGAAAACCTTTGAAAATGGAGTAAAAACACTTGTAAAAGACATTAAAGTGATTCATAAAAATGGTCAAAATCTAGTGTTATCACTCAGCAGGAAGGGATCGATTATATCGATACTTTTTCCTCTGTTGCGAAGCTAGCTAGTGTGAAGCTTGTGCTAGGCTTAGCTTCGTGTTATAAGTGGACGCTTACTCAGATGGACGTTACTAACGCATTCTTACATGGTGACTTATATGAGGAGATCTTTATGAGCTTACCTCATGGTTACACACCTGCTTCATCAACTCCTCTTCCACCTAATCCAGTTTGTTGATTGAAGAAGTCCTTATACGGTTTAAAGCAGGCATCCCGGCAGTGGTACCATTGCTTTTCCAAAGTTGTCTTGGACACCGGATTTGTTCAGTCTCCTGCTGACAATACTTTGTTTGTCAAGCAGACTGATTCTGCTTTTATTGCTCTCCTAGTATATGTGGACGATATACTAATTGCTTCGAATAATGATATTGAGTTGCAGAAGCTTAAGAATGCTCTCCATCAAGCTTTTGAAATCAAAGATATGGGAGCTCCACGGTTCTTCTTGGGTCTCGAGATTGCCAGAAACTCTACGGGAATATCTATTTGCCAACGCAAGTACGCTCTAGATATCCTTGCCTCAACTGGAATGCTTGCTTGCAAACCGAGTTCAATACCGATGGATCCAACAGTTCATCTCAACAAGACTTCAGGCACACCTTTGGAGAATCCTTTTCCCTACAGAAAGCTGATTGGTCGTCTTCTTTATCTTACAATAACGCGACCTGACATTACCTTTGCTGTGAATTACTTGAGTCAGTTTCTCTCTAGTCCTACGGATATTCACATGCAGGCAGCTCATCGGATACTCAGATATCTGAAATCTAATCCAGGCTAGGGTCTATTCTATGCTGCGGATTCTGAGCTTTGTCTCAATGCCTTTGCGGATGCAGATTATGCAACCTGTCCAGATTCACGACGATCTATCACCGGTTTCTGCGTGTATCTTGGTAAATCTCTAATATCCTGGAAGTCTAAGAAGCAACAAACGGCCAGTCGAAGTAGCACTGGATCCGAGTATAGGAGTACGGCTCTTGTTACTTGTGAACTACTATGGCTATCTCAGCTTCTGAAGGATCTTAAGGTTACTGTCTGCAACTCTGCGAAGCTCTTCTGCGACAACAAATCAGCAATGCACATCGCCACCAATCCTGTTTTCCACGAGAGGACCAAACATATAGAGGTGGATTGTCATACCGTGAGAGATCATGTTAAAAATGGATTCATGAAGCTTTTTCATACTTATAGTGCAAATCAACATGAGCATTTCAAGTCCTTTTTCATCCTGCAACAGCTTTGGTTTTGACTTCAGAGGCTTAAAGGGGTATATTAGATATATACCGGATTATGTCCGGTTCAATGTACATAGATTAGATTAAATCACCGGTTTGTTTCTTTTAGCTAAACCGTGTGACTATATATATCAACACTTGTACATTCTTTTACCAATTAATGAGAAAGTGAACATTTCCTCAATAGTAATTATAATAGACAATCGAGAGAAAGAGTTTCGTGTTGCTAACTTATAACATAAACGACCTATGATTTTTATCATCTTTTTTTTGCAAACATTTTTTATCATCCTACAAGTATTTTTTTTCATAAAAAAACGAAGAACAAATTGCTAACTTAAAAAGAAATTATAAGTCATGTATGATTATCATCTTACAAGTAATGGTCATAAAAAAAGTTTCAAAACGAAATTGCTAACTTAAAAAAGAAAATTAGTTTTGGTATTAATATAGAGATTTAGGTCTATTGTGGCTCTTTTAGATGTTGAAAATTGAAAGAAGTCATGTAAGATTATGAAATTGCATAGTAAATTAATTGGATGACCCATTGATTATCCGGCTTCCATCGAGTCCTTTTTTGCTCTGAGCTTATTAAAACTAGTCTCTGAAGTTTCGACAATAGATTTTTATGACTTGATGATTTTATTCAGAAAAGGAGTTACATTTTACAAGTAAACCTCAACAAAACCAGTCATATTTTCGTACATTATTATTATTACTACTACTATTTAACTTTCTTTCACAGTAGAGGCTCACTGTTAAACGCCGTTGTGTTTAAAGCTCTCAAGCATCAGCCTTCCTTGGCCTTCCGTAGCTAGCTGGGCCACTGGCGTGAGTCAAAGTGGTCTCAAGCGTGTTGAACTTAACCTTCCTTGCTTCTTGGGGCGAGATTTGGTACCCATTGCTTATGACCTCTAGTGGTAGACCTGCCATGATTGAGGTTCGTCCAGCAAGAGTGTTGATTTGTGCGTTTGCGTTTGTCTTGAACTCAACCCACCGGAACTGGTCGCTTGTTGCGCGTTTCACCACGGCGAAACCTTGTGGAATGGCTAATAGCTGTCCTTGAGAGACTTGTCCGTCGAACACTCTTTCACCGTTGTCGTTAACCACCTGCACTTGGGCTTCCCCGTCTGTCACGTAGAGAATCGCGTTGGCGTTTGCGTTCCACTGTGGAAGCACCATTGCGTTCTACACCCACACACACGTTTCAGAAGTCACGTTTAAATCTAGAAATTGACATAATTATAGCAAACCGAAAAACTAAAGCGAGATGTGACCAAGTGGGAAAGAATTTTGTTTGTAATACCAAACAAACCGAACAAAATGAAAGTTTACAAATGGAAATGGATTTTAGCAAAAAAAAAGTTTACAAATGGAATTTTTTAAATCAAAATTTGATTCTACCAAAACCACTATATATATAATTAATCTGAACCGAAACAAATTGAACGGTTTAATTTCGTATCAAACGCATGTGTATTAGTTGATTTGATAGGTAGTCATGTAGATAACATTCTTTGTTGAACTTACTTGACGGATGGATCCACGGAGGGCTGAGAGACGAAGGAAGCGTAGGATGGGGAGATCGTAACTGTTTAGAGTGCTGATGTAACCGAGCTGTGGCTTGTACACGTCAGCATTGGACGGGTCATCGAGGTTATCGGTGCTCCTCGCGCTGCATATGGTCTCCTCTAAACCGTTACCTACTGCTTCTTCCTCCTGTGGTCTCTGCCCCCTCAAAGGTGGCCTAATGACACCGAATTCGCCTTTGACAAAGACAATGTTTCCACGGTTGTCTTGCTGGTTCTGAAGTTGTTGCGCTGTCTGAACATTGATTTTCAAAGCTTGAGCAATAACCTCTGGTGGGAAGCCATTAAAGATGTTGTTTTGTGGCTGTTGTTGACGTCCTTGTAGCCATACTTGGCCTTGTGGGTTGTTTCCAGCTAAGTAAAATGGCTACATAACACACATAGAAAAACAACATTTGTTTTGTTATATTGTGATTATAATTAAATTTCTGTTTTTTTTTTTTTGAGGTTTTGGTCTATATATACCCTTGGGTTGCGGTCGAGCTGGTTCTGGTGGTTGGCTAAATCAAGGACGGAAACGATGACAAGTGGTTGGTTTCCGTCGTTGTAGAACCATTGTGCTACACCTGTTGGGGTTGCGATTGTGTCCCCGCTCCTTATGTGCTCCACTTTCTGGTGCATATCACGGAAGCTTTGCCTTTGTCCCTGTCCCTGTTCTTGTTCTTGTTCCTGCCCTTGTCCCTGCTGGCCTCGTCCCTGCTGGCCCTGTCCCTGCTGGCCTGGTTGGAATACTGATGAGTCCTGGAATGTCTCAGCGCAACCAGGGATCACTCTTCCCATAAGACCTCGTCCTATAGTGTCACAAACCCAAAAGAAAGAAGAAGATTACATGCACAGGTCTAATAAAAATTATTTAGATTTTGATCAAAAATTTGAAGCAAGTCGAAACCATGTGAGACTTTTTTATAAAACTCGGCGCGTATGTAGCTCTAAAGATGTACTATAACACTATCCAAAAAGAGTGAACCTTATCACGAGCTTAAATCTTGATATTATAATGGTCTCCCAATCCGTAAAAGTTACTAAAGATCCAAAAATATTTGGTTTAAAAAAAACGTACCTTTAGCCACGAAGGATAGCTTCGCGGTGTTAAGGAAAGAGGGCAAGTAGAGACCCTTAGACTCGATGACGTAACGTACGAAGGAGACACCAGAGCAACGTAGCTGAGGAGCGTGGTGGTCCCACACCTCTATGCGACCAGCCTCGGCCTTAAGTACGTGTGATGGCTCGATCGCATTGAGCTGGTCGAGCTGGCACTCGTTTGGAAACTGCTGAGCAGTGTAGCCGTGGAGAAAGATCAAAAGTGTAAAGGCAAAGGAGAGAAGAGAGGAGACTCGAGCCATTTTCTCTTTACTTATTTGTTATGGTTTTTCTGGTCTTACACTTGCGTTAAGTGAATCTATTTATAGGGGGTTTTTTCTATTTTTTTCTTCTTTTAAATGCTGTTAGGAGTTTTGATGATAAATCGATTGAGAAAAGAACCAAGTATATAGAGTCGACTATGTACAATTTACAATTCGCTTGTATTGCTATTTTTATGTCTTTATTTGGAAATAAAATTTGGCTGCACGTTGTTAAGCAAACATATCAATGAAGGGAGTTGACACATTTCAATTTGCATGGCTTATTGAAGTGCCATGTTTCTTACACATCAGCTTTGAGATAGGCACATGTAATAGGACAAACTGTTTATTGTATACCGTGGTTTCATTTTTTAAAATACAAAAAACAAAAATCTATTACTTTTGAAACGAACTGCTAAAACTTGATTAAGATGACAATTTAACCGTATGATTGCTGAATCTCTCACCTTTTTTGTCAACTTATACTACTAAAGAGTAACGAACAGCATAAGCCATCTCTTTTACCTTACGAACCAGCATAGAATCAGCCTTACAATTTAGAGAATGGGCAATCAAAGTGCGAAAATGGCAGAATTAATTACCAAAAAACGATGAGTTTGTTATATATAAGAATAATTCTCCACGTTGTTTCTCTTTTTATTTTCGGATTCCATGTTCAATTGTATGGTTTATTTATCGGCGCAAAAGGCAAGAATTCAGGTTTTAATTGTTTTATTAGTGACAAAGGGTTCTGAAAATATTGTCAGACAAAGAAAGAAAGAAGAGAAAATAAGATTGAAAGTTGTATGTTAGACTATATAGTTTGATTAGATAATATAATGGTCACACATAGGCTAGGCATAGATTCAAAAAACCGAACCGAAACTGACTCGAAAAACCGATTTGGATCAAAATTCAGATCTAACTGTTTTATCCGATGGATAAAATTTTTTAGAACCGTGCATATCGGTTCGGTTCCAGGTAAGAACCGAAAACCGATCGGATATTCAGATAACCTGAATTATTATTCTCTATATTACATAATCGATGTTTCTATATATGTATTACATATATTATATACTTTATACTTTATAGTTTTTTACTATATGGTTTGTAACTTCGGGTTATATTTCGGGTAAATTTAGGGTTTCATAGAAACCGATTCCACTCCCAATTTCTTCTTCTCCTATACACAATCCATTTCCATTTCTAAATCCCCAAAATCAAAACTGGAATCCACTAACAAGAACTGCTCCGAACCTGATTACGTATTGCCATCACCGTCATCAGCATCATCGAGAATAAGATCGGAGGTATGTGGATATCATTTAGTCGTTTCGATTAGATTTTGATTATGGTTTTTTTTTTCGTTTCAATCGTATTGATTTGATTTCGATTCTGGATTTGATTTCGTCGTATTATTTTGATGTGATTGTCGTATTGTTTTGATTTGATTTCGATCGGAGGTATGTCATATGTGGATTTCCATTCGCAGATGGCTTCTTGCGAAGACAGGGATCCCATGGATGAAGACGATGCACCTGAAACAGATGGCGAGGATGTTGAAACACATGAAACCGGAAATAAAGGGAAGAGGAAAGAAAAAGAAGGTTCAGGTTCTGGTTCTAAAAGGAAGAAGACAAGGTCAAAAGTTTGGGAGCACTACACACGACACAAGAATAATTATGACAAATGCAACTGCAATTATTGTGGTAAGGAATTCGCATGTTCATCCAAGTCGGGCACATCCAACATTACGAAGCACATCAATTTCGGATATAAGACGTATCAAGCTTGGGTTTCTGCTAACAAAGATAGCAACCAAACGGTGATAACTCCCACTGGTGATGATGGAGTTATGGGTTTAGGAAAGGTTTCTGAACTTATCTTCAGAGAAGCTACGAATGAGATGTTGGTATTAGCTGAGCTACCTTTATCTTTTGTCGAGAGCTTAGCTTGGAAGCATTTCACCACAAAGACGAAGCTGTACACTCCTCACTCTCGAAGAACAGCCACACGAGACATTGTGGAGATATATGTTTCAAGAAAAGCAGTTATGAAGAGGATACTTGGACAGAACAAGCAGCGGTTGTCTTTGACAACAGACATATGGACAGCTCCTAATACTTCAGCCAGTTATATGGTCATAACAGCTCACTTTATCGATACTTCTTGGCGGCTAAGAAAGATGATATTAAGTTTCAAGAATATCGATGATCACAAAGGTGCGATTCAAACTTTTATTTGTTTTGACTTTTTTTATTGTCTTCCCTTGTTCATGATGCAAAATGTGATTGCTTAAGTGATTAGTTAGCTTTTGATTTAGTAAGTTATTTAATTGTGATGTAGGTGCAACGATTGCTAAGGTGTTAGTTCAGTGTTTGGAAGAGTGGGACATCAAAAGGATCTTCTGCATTACCGTAGATAATGCTATCGCAAACAGTTCAGCTATGAGGCGATTCAAAGCAGAGTTTAAGAAAGTTGGAGATGATGCAATAGTTCTCAATGGAGAATACCTTCACTTAAGGTATGCTACACACATATTGAACTTGATCGTGAAGGATGGCTTGCAAGAGCTAGATAACAGTGTCGTTTCCATTCAGAATGCTATACACTATGTGAGGACCTCTACAAACAGAGTGAAGGCGTTTGAGTTTCGAGTTGAAACCGGGAAGATGACTAGAGGAAGCTTGCCTTTAGATATGAAGACAAGGTGGAACTCTACTTATCTCATGCTAGATCAAGCTCTGAAATTCAGGTCGACTTTTGAGAAGATTAAAGATGAAGACAAACCGTATAGTGACTACTTTTCAGAAACTGTGGAAGGGAAGAAGAGGGTCGGACCACCATGTGCGAGTGACTGGGATCAAATAGAAAGGTTCGTCCATTTTCTTGTGATCTTTTACAATTCAACATTGATTCTTTCTGCATCAAATTCAGTGGCTGCACATAAACTATATAATGAGATAGTTACTATTACAACTAACATCAACGAGATAAGGACAAATCCAGCTACTGATGATGAGTTGATTAGTAAAGCCATTTCTATGAATAAGAAACTAGATAAGTATTGGGATCCGTTTGCTGTAAAAGATGGGGAAAATATTGTGGAGATGAACAAGCTTTCAATGGTGACAACTGTTTTTGACCCGAGGAAGAAGATGAAGTTTCTTCAGCTCTGTGAATCGCTGTATGGGAAAGACAGCGTTGAATCTATTCACCTTTATGATGAGGTTGAGAGTATCTTGAAGCGTTTGGTTGATGAGTACACTATATTTTCGGATAAAACCAATGACAGTGGTAATGGTGGATCGCAAAAAGGATCTTCTCAGGCTCATGGATCATCTTCTCAGTCACAAGATCAGTGTAGAGGTGAAGCTGTGGATACAAGAAGTCTCAAAACAGGCGTTGGCTACAGGCGAATGGATGATATATATCAGGAACTTGTAGAAGAATCAGGTGTTGAAGATTCAACAAATGAGTTGGACCTGTATTTGAAAGAGAGTGTTGACAAACCAAAGCTGATGAAGGGATTTGAATATGATATCCTATCATGGTGGAAACGGAATAGTGGTAAGTTCCCAATCTTGTCACTGGTTGCAAAAGACATACTCGCAATGCAAGTATCATCTGTGGCTTCAGAATCGGCTTTTAGCACTAGTGGTAGGGTGTTAAAACCTTATAGAAGTTGTTTGACACACTACATGGTTGAAGTTCTGATGTGTACTGAGCAATGGTTAAAATGTGAGATCCATATCAATGAAAAAGGAGAGGTAACTGTTCAACATATGTTTTCAGATGTGGAGTTAGAAAATGAGCTTATGAGAAGTAAGTAACTCTTTTTTTTTTCATTTCACATTGTCTTTAAGATTATGATTTCTAAGTTATAACTTTATTTTCATTGTCTTTCTTTAAAGTATGAACCTGAATTCAACTTTCAAGGATGAAAAACATGATAAAGAGTGTGAGCTGATGGTGATCTGATAGCTTCTTTCAAGTTTGGAGATTGGTACTTTGTGTTCTTTGTGGTTTGAGTTTGAAATTTGGTACTTTGTGTTCTTTGTATTTTGGATGATTTTTCCTTTCATGGTTTGTGTCTTTGTGACTTTTGTTTGGACTTTGGAATGTTGTTATTTGTTGGAAACAGTTTTAGCTGTGGTAACTGGTAAAACTTGAAACATTATGGTTTTGTTGTTTGGATTAAAAATTTGGCATGAAATTTTTGGGTTAAATAACGGATTTCGGATATTTTTTGTCATTTCGGGTATTTTTTATTCATTTCGGATAGAAATTTTCGGTTTCGGATACAAAAATAACCGAATCATTGAAGCACCCAATTTTTTTTGGTATTTATCGGTTCTACAATTTTGGAACTGAATTGATTCAGAATTGGGAGGATCCGAACCGAAACCGGATCGAGGTGGGTCCAGACTAGCCACGTGGGTGGCCATATGGCATTCCACGTATCGGCTCTTGGGACGCTGCAGTCCATATGTAAATTCCGCAGTGGTTGGAGCTCGAACTCGTGATGGCGGATACCTCAGCTGAGGGTTCTTTACCACTAGAGCTAGAAGCACCGGTTAAGAAATGTTAAGTTTCGACAGACTTTGATCAATTATGGATATATGCGAATGATAAAAGTTAAAAGTGGTAATTATAGATAGACAATGGAAAGAGAAGACGTGGCGACAGGAAACAGCTGAGACACAGATGAGAGATGTGTCGGACGCGACGAACATGCCGTGACGAGTGTACGGCTGCATGCATGGTCGCTCTCGGTGCTCAGTCCCCAACATTTTTTTTTTAATGAAAATTAATTTCTAGTGTTTTCCTCCCCTTTGAAATTTTATTCCAACTAGAAAATAAATCGTGCTATGCCATAAAATTATAAACTATTATTTTATTGTATTATCTGTTAATAATCTCTTATATCCATTTTTCATATTTTTCATTCAAATCATGATCTAATAATAATTTTGAACTTTCTCAAATTGCTATTTTTAAATTTTGTTTATATATATATATATATAGGTTCCATCTTCTTTACC